TGAGCATCTGATTTAACTATTTTATTTTTAATCATTGTCTATGCTGTTATACGAGTAAAATACAAATTAACACCAGTTTGCATACGTCTTCTTTCTACCATTCAAACATATTTTCATTTCAAAGTTTGTTCAAATGGAACACCCTGTATTTTGAGGTAGTTTTGAAATTCTGAGATGATTTGAATCTTTTTTATGAAACATTCTCAATATCTAAAATCAACCGTTCACGAGATATTTAAGTTTTTCTTGAAAAAATAAAACATGCGTATGTCCACCATAAAACTAGAGTCTACGAAACTTTCATTTCAAAAATAATTAATTGAAAAATGTCTACTCTAAATGTTTCATAAAAGAGCGAAAATTCAAAAATATTGCATTGTCCTTTCCCACAGAATATAGAAACTATTTCAAAATACAGTGCATTTCTTTAATGCCCCCCCCCCTTTTATTTTTTGAACGGGTCAACTCAAAAAAATTGAAATTTGGGANTTTTTTTCCCAGATGGCGCCCAGTCGCCATCTTGAAAGTTTCATCTGTCAATTTCACTTCAAAATAAAGTACTCATGTATTAATTTCATTATTCTAAATTTCACTTTTTTGAGTTGACCCGCTCAAAAAATAAAAGGAGGGGGGGACATTAAAGAAATCCACTGTATGATAGTCCATAGGAGACAGATCGTGGGGACGTACTGGCCAAAGGTACGGCCCATTATTGGCAATCTACCTATCGTACAATATTTGATCGAGTAATACGCAATAGTACGTCGGTACTAAATGTTTTCTGCATCTCCACAACATTTTGTAGTGTTACAGTATCCATCACCATTAAAATTGTTATCATAGATGTACAAACACAGAATGTTACTGTGCTTAATAGCACATTAAACGCTTAGAAGTCTAACTTCTTTGGAAATATGTGAAAGCTATTTTGTGGGATTTTTGGCGGTGGTCTGCAGATTTTTATGCATGACGTCTGTGGTGGTAATTCACCTAAACGTTTACTTTATCATAATTTGGTTGATAATGAATCATTTGGATGCGCTATATACAAGTGAAAGTTAAGTTTTCAACTCAGCAAGAATAACGCACCAAGACACTTCTTAATAAAGATACAGGACTCTTACACAGAGACTTATTTCAAATCGTGATTACACTCTTTTGGTACAGGAGGTCCCTGAATTTCTACACATACTTTTCTACATGGGCTTATTTGTCGATACACACATCACCTGCATTTGAATTCAATTCACTCGGTACATAAAGCTTCAAAACATAAATCGTTATATCACAGAAATCTATAAACAATATCATGAATTCAAGGAAAAAGTGGATTTAATACTTTTTGCTGAACTGTCAAGGCTCTTATGTGGTAACTGGTGTTTATGAAACAAATATAGGTGAGTATAAAATGTCCTTCTTATTTATGAAGGAATATTGCTGTATTTCTTTCAAATTCAGTGAGGTGTAGCAAAGAATCAACTCCATTACACGGTCGAAGTTAATCCGTTTTAGTGAAATAACTTTTTGTTTTCAATACTGACACTCAGTATTTAACATCATGGTCAGTATATTGAATGTTATGACGTCAAATTCGATTTAAGCAACAACTAGCAGGAAAAAACCCTGTTCAGTTTCCACATTGTACACGATCTTGTAATTTTACCAAACTTCTAAATGAATTATGTTTCAATCAGATTTCTGCAAAAACTTTTTTGAAATTCCGATAAAATAGCAATATATACAGTGTGTTCCACATCGATCGAACTTCCATAAGTATCAGTATTCAACCTTCTGAAATTTGAAAATATACACTCGTATCAGAATTACGTGTTTATTATAATAACAATATACAGGGTGTATCTTAAATGATGTCATTGATTACAGGTGGTGATTACATGTCATATTTTATGAAAACAAATCATATAATCGTGTGTCCTAACTTGCTTCGTTTCCAAGTACCAGGATATCACCGTTTCAATAAAAATATTGTTCTGTTACCAATAGATTAGACTAGATTGTCGGGGAGCTGGCCCATAGCCTGATTCACTGTGGCCTTTTCAGATCTATTGTGATGCTTCTTGGTTGTTAGAGCTCATTGTCTAGCTTGATCTCTTTGATGAGACTCCATAGCCTTGACATGACCCCTTCATATAGTTGGCAGCCTCGAGTTTCTCATCACTAGATCTTGCGTGTCTCACAGAGCACTTGCAGTGCGGTTTCTTCCTCTTCTTGATAGAACCTGCATTGGATTTCTTCAGTCAGGCTCATGTTGCTCATATGTTTCCTGACGAGTCAGCTGTGACTCGTTAGTAGACCCACTAACATCCTTACAACCTTACGGTTGTGATTCAGCAGGTCTTCCGTGAATCAGGGCGATAGTTTCTTTATGAACTCTTTCTTCTGTTTCATGCCTGGGAGGTAATTCCACCAATGTATCCATTCGACTTGCATCCATGAATTTATGGATGTCTTTTCTTTTATCAATAACTCACAATTATTTTTGCCGATTTTGAATGAACTACGGTGTTTTTAATGAGTAGCAAGGGGCTCCTTTTCATGAAATTAGATTTGGAATGTCAATTTCAGTGGCGTCGCAGAAGGTTACTTGATTGATATTTATGGTAAAATTCAATATACGTCACTGTTTTCGTTAAGATATTATTTGAAATAGTTAAACCTGTGTCATGAGTCAGTTCCACTTTGCTGGGTTTTACAGGTAATTAAATCAAAAGTTAATGTTTTGTATCCCTCATTTTGATACATATTCAATTTTCACTTCGATTCGAATATGTTTGAAAACAAAAATTATAAAAAACATTTTTAAAGAGAAGATTTTATACAAATGCACTGAAAATGAAAAACTAATTCCTTTCATTGTTTGATCTGAAATTAAAAACAGTGGCGTCCAATGGTTTTACCATAATTATCAATCAGATAACCATCTGTGACGCCACTGGAATTATTATCCGTGATATAATTCCATGAAAGAAGCTCGTTTTTACTGCTAACAAACACACCTAGTTTCATTGAAATCAGCGAAAAGACTTGAGTTATTAATAAATGAACAATGTTTTTGGTGAAACTTTGACACCCCACCCCGTTACTCTGTATCGAAGCAAGTTAGAACACACGTTTATATGAACATTTTTTATTCATATTCAAATTAGAAATTATTTTTTCATATACAGGGTTGTGTAATATGTGTACCTAGGTGTTTGGAACTTATACCAAAAACAAAATAATGACAGTATTTTCCAGTTTTTTTTCAAATGAACCCCATATATCACATAAAATATGTTAATTCTCTTTGAGGTATACCTACAGACTAGACCTGCACCACAGTCACGTGGTGCAGATGTTTTGTTTTATTTTAGTTAGTAGTTCTTAAGCTTATTTTGTTATTGTAGTTTTATCTCTCTTACTTTTAATTACAATTCAATATTGTGTTTGTAGGAGTAAAAAGTAAATAAAAAGTAAATAAATAACTATGCACATGTTCAATCTATTATTCAATATGGCATTATATTTTGGGCGAACGAAATATTCAAAACTCAAAAGTATATAATTCGCTCTATGTTGAAATTTCCTTATGGGTCAACATGTAAACCATACTTCAGAGAACTTGCTATATTAACCGTTACTTTCTTCAATTAGTAACTTTTGCAAAAACACACTACCACATCATTACAAAGAACTGTGATCATTATTCCGATCAAATGGCAATAAATACAAGAGGAAGAACCGACCTAAGTATACCCAAAACACATAACATAATTAGATGAGAAGGGACCCCACTATAAAGCCCTTATAATAAGAAATACCTAGTATTCGAAAACATTCATAATCCTAACAATAGAGTATCTGAAAGAAAAAAATTATTATAGTTTCAACATTTGGTGATGAGTCTTGATATACAAATTACAATAATATTTATTAGATGTCTTTATGTTTACTTGTATTGTTACCTTGTCTCTCAACCTGTCATTCTGTATATTTTCATTTACTCAATGAATTGTTTTATAACCTCTGACGTGCTATGTCCCCAGTTGATTTTATAGCAATTAAGAATATTATTTTTTTTTACCGTAGTATGCGCTGCTCAGGCCCTATCCCCTGAAGCCTCGATACATTCGAAAGGTCGCGCCAGTATTATCAACCAATGACCAATCCACACACCGTGGGGTAAGTGATCATTGGGTCCGAGAATCATGTGCCTTGAGCAAGCGCAGTGAGCCAAGAATGACAGCCTTCTGCATCTGTCCGGCTAAGATTTCTGCCTTAGTGCAGCAAGCCGGTATGATTTCGAGATTTGAGAGTAGAGAGGACATCATTCCACCAAGGACTCCAATAATCAGAACAACTCCACGAAAGCGATTCAAATCCAATATGAATCGCTACTATCGCACAGGCACCGCTCTTAAGGATTTTCCTGTAGTGCTTGTGTTTTCTCCTTGAAAGAAAAACAACCTGAATGGTTCTAAAACACACAAACTGGTCTCCAGTACGGTACAAGATACCACCATGCGTACATTACACACACTCTATTCAATTACAGTAGAGTCAGGTTTTACAAATAATCAGATAAGAAACTAAAAGCACCAGAGACTAACTCCCGACCATGAGAGGTCAGATTTCAATATTTCTGAAGTGTCAAAAGCAGCAGGTTGAGGTCCACTCGGAAGTGAGTCGGAGTGAAAGGATGAGATTTTAGCTTCTGCGCACAGATACAGTGTGGGAAAGATTTTATCTCGGGGCACTGAACCCCGGGGGCCATAGTGGAATGCATTTGTGGTTCAGCCTAGCACCACTAATGAGACCTACGGCAGATCGAAAAGCGATATCTGTTGTTGAGTCATAAATGCGTTGTGTTGGGCTCTAATTCCCAAACTCATTTGGCTTAACAATTTTCATTTTTCACACTTGTATTTTTTGTTATTTCATAGCTTCGTTTATCTCGAAAATAATAATAAATAGATAAATATAGTCATGAATGTACTTACATTGAACATTGAGAAACGATTGCATATCCTTTTCCACACTAGTTAGTAAGTAAGCCGAACATTTTAGAATTTTTATTTTTTAAAGGTTACACTAGGCAACTGATACAATTTTTGTAGAAAACAATATATTTTTCTTAATCAACGGTAAAAAGTAGTTATCACATTTTATAAATAATACTGGCTTACCATTAGGTTTCAATAGCTTTGTCTTGCCGTAGAGTACTAACCGAATTCTCCGTTCAAATGTCCAAAAATAAGTTTCAACATATGCATATATGTTAACGAGCAAGGGACTAATTGTTAAAAATCATAAATAGTTTAACAACGAAATAAATATACTAACGTATTTTATAAGATAAACAAAATATCAAGTGCTCATTTTTATTTCAATAGTTTTCCACGTGGCCTTAATTTTTAGGTAAGGTCGAAACTCAAAGCGAGAATTTGCCAGACATATATTAACTATTGAAGCCTGGATCAGATAAATAGACAGCTGTTTCAGCTATCTACCGGTGGCTCTTGAATTGAAATCAATATGGGAATGATCAGAATAGTAGGTACTCATCTATTCATCTTTTGATTTTCATGGAGTTATTTTCCAGCAGTTTGACTGCATTAACCTTTCTCTATTCAGTTTCAACTTCTCAACTTTCACTATACGGTATTTCTGTCGACGCGACAAATTTATGTTATAATTATTACGTCACCGATCGGCGGAGAAGTTTAAATTTTTATTTTCAATAAAACATTTTTCAGCTAATTGACTTCAACAGTTCGATAAATTTTCGAAAAAGCAAAAATAGATAAATTGATTTCCAGGATATTATCTCAATATTTTCATATTGAAATACAATGTACCTGCCACTACTATCAAATCTACGTCATAGTGTGTGTGTCAGTAACAACTTCTAACCTTACGCGACCCCTTCCATATGCTACGCCACTGAAAGCAGCTGTTCGCCGAATCAATCAATCAATTTAACATTATAACATTTGGAGAGTTTTTTTTTGACGCCCGTCGAATGGAATTATGTTCTGAAATTTGTGTAAGACAAAACAAAGCAAACAAACCTTCTGGTTTATGACACACCCAAACGTCGTATTATTTCTGCGTTTACACTCCGTATTTACAAATTTGTTTTACCGGCATCTTCCCCGCTCTCTTCATCTCTTATGGCCATAGAAAAAGAGCAAGTGTGTGGATCTTCACTGGTATCTGAAACAATTTTTCATTATCGAACCATCAATTGTTGAAATAATTTCAAAAAATATATTAAACAATCGCGGGGCGCGGTATAAAACTAACCTACAATACCTACTATCGATCGGGGCATATACTCAGATGAGAAACGATTATGTTTTATAAGCAGGGACGTACGTTCAGGTTTGTTGATTGATTGAAATGCCTGAGTGAAAGACCAAAGTTTTGTGCACGGAAAATTTTTAGTTTTCACATGTGAAATAAAAACAAGATGACTACTTTTCAGAATGTTTTGAGAATATTCATTTCAAATTAACAAGGTCATCAACATACGAGGTCTGTTCAAAAAATAAGCTGAATTTAAATTTTTCTCAAAACAATATTCATTTATTAATCAATTTCTATTTTGTCTCCTCCGAAGTAGTCCCCCTCAGATGTAATACATTTGTACCCGCTTTTTTTTCAATAGTCGAAGTAGTTCTGATATGCACTCTTTCGTATGTTATTTCAGCGTTTCGATTGTTATCTCCTCAATCATTTTATCTCCTCAATCCTCATTTTATGGGCCTCGTCAATATCGAGAACAGGAAAAAGTCACAGGGTGTCAAATCTGGTGAATATAGTGGCATGAGGCATCTTCAGTGGCTAGTGAGCAGGTGCATTATCATTATGCAAAAGCCATCAATTGTTTTCCCACAATTCCAGACGTTTTCTTCGTATTGCTTTTCGCAAGCGGCAAAATATTGGTTTCGATTTCAAAACCATATACCCATAAGTCGTTACCAGTTATGACCTTTTCGAACAAATCTCGATCTCCATTGACGGCGTGCAACAATTCCTGAGCGATGCTCATGCAACGATTTTTTGGTCAAAAATTCAGCAATTTGGGAACGAACTTCGCTGCCACACGCTTCATGCCCAAAATTTCCGAAAAAATTGCATATCATGAGCCAAACGATATGGGGACATCCTCAGCAACTTCTCTGATAGTGATTCGATGATTCTCCATAACAAGTTTTTTCAAGTTTTCAACATTTTCATCGATTGTTGATGTGCTTGTGAGTCCAGGGCGAGAGTCATCATTCACGTCTTTTCGAACTTTTGTGAAAAGCGTGTCTCAATTATAAACATTTTTCTGACTCGGAATACAATCACCGTATGCCACTGTAAACATTTCAGTGTTTTCGAGCACGAAAAAGACTTCTAGCTTGTATGCCTCTCACAAACAAACTGAACATGCTGAACATCAGAAACTGTGAACATATGTTCGAGACGAGTGCCCCAACATGAAAAAATAAAAAAATCAAGAAACTATTACCTCCAGTAAAACTTCTCAATTCACCAATGCTGTTGATAATTCGCAACCCATTTCCATTGATGTATTTCAATGTCACCGACAGATTTTTTCTTGGGTTCAACAGAAAAACTTGTTTCTGATTTTTGTTCAGGTCTTTAATCAGTTCGCATATACACTGAAAAAAAATACAAGAATGATATGAATAAGTATAACGCATACCTGATTCGTTATTTCTTACTAAGGCCGTAGTATATTCCATTGCATCGATTCCTCCTAATTCTATGACAACGTTTCGACAGTTCTTCCCTTTCATTTCGACTTCCTTCAAAACTGTTTCCCTGATATATTCAGCCGAGTAGAACGGCATCGCTGACCCAAAAGCTACTTTCACATGTCTTTCCAAAGAATTGACCTATAATATGTTTTTTTAATTCAATCATAGTCTTTCAAATCCTTTACTCACATCGATTTTCTCCACTAATATCCGGGGTCTCGACGAAGTGTATAAAACTTTCAGTATATCAGCCATCAACCCAACCAAGATGCCTACTTCAATTCCAATAAGGAGACTTGTAAAAAAAGTTATGAAGAAAGGGAACAGATCTAGTTCTGGAAACAAATAATACCTCAGTTATACTTAATACGAAGTCAATCCAAACAGCTAAATGAGAGACTAATGTACCGGATCTGATAAATTCACTAGTTAATGCCATATAAAACCTCCCACATAAAAATAATGATTAGACCTTGCATAAATTGACCACGCCGTCCATGCCATACAAAGAAACTGCCAACGTTCGGTAACTATTTAGTTTTTATGCCATTCGAATTGACTTCGCATATACTATACCATTAAAGATGAAGCGACAGGCACAACAGAGATTCATTGGTTATAATCAATTGGTTAGGTTCGGTTGGGTTAGGTTAGGTCCAAAGTGAGTGGGTCTATTCGACCCTCCACCGCAACCCGCAAGGGTATATTGTGGCTCACACCTATTCACACTCGGCCAAATAAACCCAGCTTCTTAACGAAGCCGATAAGTTTGTATGATGAGTGGTCTTTCAGGTCAGATGGTAAGATTACGGCTCTGCCGAACTCCAAAGACCTGATTCAGTCCCCAGCGGGGCAGGTACAAAGTATATGCTAAAAAATGAGAATTATTTATAATTATTTATTAAGTAATAATTTATAAACCTTAAATGAGCTGATTTCGATCGGGAAAACCAGTTGATTTCAAATAATATTTAATCTGCGCTAGCGCTGCCCTCTATCTCAAAAACGATTCAACTTATGAAAAAATGGTAAAAATAAAATAGCGCAATTGTAAAAGCTTCAAAATCAGGGCATGCGATTAATATTGGTTTTCAGTTGAAGAGCGTAAATTATATATGACTATGATCTTTATATTTAAGCTGCATAAAGGATTGCTACCCAATTACTTTCAAAAATTCTTATTGAGAAATAATGAAGTTCATGAAGAATACTTTTATGATGCCAAAATACAAAGTTTATACAAATTCACAGCTGGGTATGTCCACTTTCCTAGGCAAACCCCCTAAAATGACTGGACTATAAATAATCCAGGAAATAGTGACTGGTTTCAAGGAAGTGGTCGACTAGAGAACTGCTCCCAAACAGCAGAACTGCCACACTTTTCTTTACACGCGTTTCAAAAAATAAACAGTTTCAAAATGTTCAAAACGTAGAATATTTTTGAGATAAATTGAAAGAATTATATTTTTAGAAGTGACTAATTTTTGTGAAAAAAAGTTTTTGGCTTTCTACTACTCCATTTTGATACAAAAAATGTGGGAATCTCCCAAAGAAAGGAAGGAAGACATCAATTTTAAAAGAAGTAACTTTATACATAGATGTGTAGATCATGCAAAGAAGTAATTTTCAGACGCAAACTGGAAGAAAAAACACCTCTTGAAACAGAGATGTTTGAATTTACATAACAAATAACGAAGTTTTCTGGTGCATTCGATCTCATATTACATTCTGTGCATTTGATTTCATATTACAATCGAAGATGATACCTAGATATTTTACTGTGTAAGAATGCTTCAACTATACAGTGGTACTTCCTACGGTTACGTCTAAAATTTAGTAATCCGGAAGGTTGGTCTCGTAGCTGGTGAAGGGTACAAAAACTGGGTTTTCAGGAAAAACATTCTCATCCAGTTTGAGTATTTGAAAAAGATAACAGTGTCCTCAGCAAATAGCAAATCAACATGGAGAATAAACAGCGTGGGTCCAAGAACTGATCCCTGTGGTACACCGTACATGCCTGTTTTCTCTTTACTGGTTTTATCAACTATTATGGCAGATTTTCTTCAATTTTTAGAATAGTTTTCCATTATAGCTATATTCTCTGCATACAGATGTAATTTGAACTATAGAAAAAAATTAAAAAGTCTTACTGTTAATTCTCCAGAGTTTTCGTATAATCATCAACTCAACCATGAAAATAACTGCGCATATTATCACAGCTGCTAATGTAGGCTTCGGGATGAACGGAAAGTAAGGCGTCAATAATGTGAAGGCAAGAAATACCATGATAGCTGAAAAAAACATTTCATTTTATAGATTCTCAACAGAATTTTTTATCAAAAAAATCAGTAATTCTTATTGCACTGGAAATCAAAACTCTTAGATGCTTTTTTTACACCGGTTCTATTATAATAAAGTTTTTTGAAATATCCAATGTGTGGTGAATAGAAAATATTTAGAAACTGAACTCAATTGATGGTTGAATGAAATTCTTGAATTAGGAACTCTTCGAATTGAACTTTTTTTTTGTTTTCCTTTAGTGCGATTCCAAGAAATGTATTTACCGAATGCCTTGTATGTGGGACCAATCCTATATCGGCGAAACCAAAGTCTGCATTGCGAGCACAAGGAAAACATCCAGCTAGAACAAACCAACAAATCGGGAAGAACGGAGCATGTTTGAGCTAACTCATCAATATAACATAAAGTGGTCCGAAGCAAACGACTCATCCTGGCAAACTAATGTGGAGATACGCAACATATGAAAACCACTGATCAAGCGGGAAAACAGGCAACGGTGCACTGAACCGAAAAGCGAAAGGAGAGGGGGAAGAGAATGGGGTGTGGGAAGAGATGAAAGCGTCCAAGTGACTATAAATAGTCTTCATAGTCCCAAACAATAATAAGTCACTTTGCGCACTGGTGCAGCAAGCGGCGTATCAAAATAAACCCCACCAAAACCCAAAACCCAACCATCCTCTTCAGGCACCCAAACACCACAACTTCAACTCAATCCTTTTGGTAGAGAACCTCCCACTCCGAAACTCGGTGACCTACTTGGGGGTTACTTTCACGTGGAGAAACGCTGGTCAGAGCCTGGAAAAGAGCAAATTTCCTAAAAGCACTGAGAGCCTCGGAAGATGCGCCAGTAAGACTCTATTACACACATACAAAATGTTGATAAGACCAATCCTGGACTATAAAGCTGTGATCTACTGCACGTTCTTCCCGAATCACATCCTAACAACCGCCGAGAGAAGAATCCTACGAAATATCCATAACCTCCCCTTCCGATTCCCCTTCCAAGATCTGTATAACACCTTAAAAATTACCCCAATAAACTTCAGATTTCAGGAACTTCAGGACCGATTCGCCGCCAGAAAACTAAGAAGCACCAACACCGCCGCCATCAACATACTATTCCCGGATCCAGTACGTGGATGTACACACACACACACACTCCAACCGAGCGCTGCGTGATTTTCTCGACACACTGAGCAGGGACAACCCCATATTCTACAAGAGGGACAAGCTTATGAGGCCGTCGAAGCTGAATCAGATACTACCTCCGATAGTCGTCATCCAGCAGCTTCCGTAAGTATAGGGTATTGGGTCTTCCAACAGGGGCTTCCGAACTTTGACAATGGCCATATTGTTGAAGCTACATCTTTCAAATATGTTATCATGTATTCAATGTGTTTTGCCAAATCACCATAGACAGATATAACATTCAACAATACGTACAAGTAATGAAATTGTTATATCAAAACGGGTGTTTTGTTCAGACAACGTACCGTGCGCTTCGCCCATTTTACGGTCGCCATAATCATCGTACCAAGAGGTCTATTCGCAATGTGGTGGATGAATTTGAGTCCACTGGTTCACTAAATAACTGACCAATACCCGTACGCCGACGAAACGCAAGATTTACCGAAGACATCGCCGCTGTCTGTGAGAGTGTGCAGGAGAATCCGAGGCAGTCGACAACTTGGCGAATTTTGCGTCGTCTCTTGGGCCCGCACCTGGCGATCGTCTAAAACAACCCCAAGCAACTTACAGTAGTGATCACCTATCGAGAGCTGATTATTAGTTGAAATTTACTGACAGAGATCCAAGCTTCTGCTTGTTGTTAGAACTTATGCAAGAAGTATCATCCGCAAAAAGAACAACTTGGCATTTCGTCATGATATGAAAACACATCATTATTATAGATGATAAATAGCTGTGGTCCAAGAACAGAACTTTGTGGTAGTACATGCTTCATGATATCCGGATCTGATTCAGAACTGTTGTTCAGGTGGACAAACTGTCTACCTTCTTGAGTGAGACTGGAAAAATTTTGAGGGTGTGCCTCTAATGGCATAGGATGAAAGTTTTTCTAACAAAAGTTCATGAGAAACACAGATTTGGAGAGATCACAGTCCGGGATAAATGACCATCTACCTCCAAACCCTCGACAATGTTTTCCAGAGTCTCGAGGAGAGTTTCGTTCTAGCTTTTTTCAAAGGACACCGAATTGGGTGGAGTGCTGTCTTACGCGTCTCTCAAAATATCCCGGTAACCCGTCTTTTAGTGAAATTTCAAAAATACTAGGAAAAAATGGTAATACTTGAATATTTATCAGTCCACCTACCTGTATATACACCTGCGAGTGGGGTCCTGATTCCACTGGCACTCCCAACAGCTCCTCTGGAGAATGAAGCGTTCACCGGATAAGAACAAAACATTGAACCTACGATACCACACAAACCTACTGCTATCATTTCTTGGGTTGCATCTACCACCTTACCATGTGCTGAAAAAAAAATTTTTGGATACTGATTCATTTTTCGTTTACTACAGGAGAAGATTAGAACAAATCCAAAGAAGGTCTGATTTGAGCTTTATAAAGCATCAAAAGTTGCTGAGGTGTGTACAGTTTTCTGGTTCGGAACAGTTTTCCAAACTTTTGAGAAGAAGCTTTCGCAATGAAGAAAACGTTGGGATCGATGGGAATTTTGTAGTTTACACATTGATGCTGTTGATTTTTGTCCAAATTTCAATTTGGAATTGTATGTATGTCTCACTATGTAATTTCTTTTGTATTGCAGTGAAGATGGCTTCATGAAATTTGAAAAGTCAAAAAAGAATAAATTTCTCTTTTCAGTTATTTGACCTAATCGCAACGATTCCCTGCTTAATAATTACGGCATTCAATTCTATTTTATTCAGATGTTTTTTAAATAGTCTTCAAATGGTCGTGTGTAACCCAAGCAGCCAATCTCATATCTCATATTGGCACCTCACAGCTGGTTCAAAGCCTGATGATCTGGGCCAAGCACATTCATCAGCTTATAGTTGCCTTCGATTCAGGTACGTAGTAGCGAGTCAATTTATTCCAGTTTGCCAGTTCATTCAGCTCTTCACAGCATTTACTATCAATTCTCGATGTCATTTTAGTGTCCATCAATCCCACTTACTACTAAGCGTCGTAGGACCTTGACATACTTTGGAAAACACACCAATAACGTCGCTAGTCCATCAACTTAGACACAGTTCACAGAACAACTAATAACTTAGGCAAATTTATTAAAAACAATGAAGACATAACTTCAGTAACTTGTACTTGTCCGAAACTTTATATTGGCCAAGCGGAGAGAACAATTCCCCAATAGATAAAAGAACATAGAAGGAATTTTCGAATGTGGAGACCAATTCCACATTTGGCATGAGTTCAACCACGGCTATGATTCCAGAAGTACAAGGCTTGACCTAGAGATGACAGTAGTTGTCTCTATTAGAAAGTACACAATCTATAAAGCCTATGTTTCGAATTTGAAGACGCTGCGTTGCTTAAAATTTGTATTTGGAAGAGAAAGGTTTGAATCTCAATCTCTTGGAATGTCTAGATATTAATATATTTAGGAGTTTGGAAGATTTACTGATGAACAAATAGAATTTAATTCTTTCCCGCTGTTTCAGTTTCCTGATGTGGAAATTGGTAATGAGTTGTCCATTTATTGAGTTGGTAATATTACTTTCATAATCTTCAGATTCAAAGTGTCACTTGAATGAGTCTGTCAATGCTTCATATCGATGAGTCCTACAATTAATATTCCTTGTGCGTTACAAAATTGTACACACTTTCGCTTGAAAGATGGATCTGTATCTGTAGAGTAGGGAGGGTGAGACCCACAGCACTTAGGCCACATGTGAACCATTGCACATCCTCCCAAGGAGTTGTCCTCCTTGGTCAGCGTCCATCCTGTCCTTCCCAGGAAGGTGGACAGGTCTCTGGGAGACCCGTTTCACTCCTTTATATCGGCAGGTGTAGGCCAAGACTCGCCGAACACACACAATCTTATTGACGATAACTCCGGACACTCGCACAGGACATGCCTGACAGTCTCATCTTCCTATTCACACATCCTGCATAGAGGTGTGTCAACCAGCCCCATATTGTGGAGGTGTTTCCTTAGTTGACAATGGCCAGTCCGAAATCCTACTGTTAGGCGTAGGTTTTTCCTGGTCATCGCCAATTATTTCTTCGGCGCTAGCTTCCCAGAGTGACCCAGGGTGATCCTGGCAAGATTACATCTTTTGATTTCATCCCATCTCTTTAGGGATTGAGCATGGGTGTGACGTTTGGCTAGTTCCGCAATTGTTGAAGTCATCAGGCCGTAGGTGCCACTGGGTCCTAAAATTCTTAGTCCAGCCGCTTCCTTGGCTGAAGATTTAGCAATGCAATTACCTTTAATCCTGTCGTGCCCTTTAACCCACCTCAGGATAATGTTATTATCTACCGAGGCTTTGGCTGAATCTTGGTGATACTCTAGTACTAGCCCTGAGGTAACACGTTGTCTGTTCAAGGCTAATAGGATTTGTTTGCTTTCAGTGCAGATTTTTATGTTTTTGCCAGAAATTCCTTTCCTGGTTATTTCTTTTGTGGCGATTGAGATACCAGCCAGTTCTGTTTGGACCACGCTAGTATTTTTTCCCATTCCCTACTTAATCCTTAGGCTTAGTGATCTGGAGATGGATATTCATCGGTCTTTTGAATAGGTGGGAAATAATTTTTTCCGGACAGAATACCCATGCACCCATCCAATGTTTAGTTTTCGACAAGGCTGTACACAATGTGTTCTTACGAAGCTTTCCTACAGTTTGTGACTTTGAACATCAAGTTTGTGACAATAGTGTACTTCGGTGCTATGTGGTCCGTGAAATTGTTTATTTTTTTTTTCCTCTGAATATTCTAGACCCCCTATGGCTTAGTGGATATTTGACCCTGAAATGGCTTACCCCTGTCTCCCTCATTATTACAGGGTAGACTGAAAAATAATTCCAATGCTATAGTTGGTGTGGTTTCAATCGGTACCATCAATCTAACTATTTCTAGATGTATCCATCACAATCTACTGACTGCTTTCTACAAATGATATACATCATCAGAAGTTTGTTGCCACTCACCAAAAGATTTCGCTATTCCAATATTCGCCACAATCGCTATGAAGGGGATGAATATAATACCGGTTTCCAATTCGGTCACCATGTCGATGAAAGTAATTGTTTTGTTATTTTGTTCCACGCTGAACTTTGGAATGGATACATTAGGCCAACCCGTAGCGATTTTGTCTGAAAAAAAGAATGAGGTTTCTGGTAGAAAAAATGTAGGTATATACTCATATTATTATTAACATATAATTCAAACGAAACACTTCATTCGAAATTGCACTTTTCATAAAAATCATTAGTACTATATTAGCTTTCATTTTCTTGATGGAACGCATCCCACGAGTATCCAACCTCTTTCGGTACCTTTGACAAATTCTTTGGCACCGTTCTCCAAGCTCATTATCACTAAATATAAGGTTCGTTCCAACCAGCGTCAGAAACAGTTTCTGACAGTCAGGATTGTGCGCAGTAATGTGATTGCGTTCCAACGTGAGTTTCCAACCATTAGTAAACTATCAGTTTTCTGTTCCATCCAAGATTCAAACCTGTTCGAAATCTATCAGAATGGTTTGAGGATTATCTTCTAACCATTAATCTGACGCATGCGTATTCCGTATTACTGTTTCTGTTTTATGTTCATGCAACTTGCAAACAACATAACCTGCAAAAATTGTAATAAAATAAATTATGTATTTGCTGGCGCTGGAAAAATTAGGAATTCTTTAAGTGAACCTAAAATATGAACATCTTTAATTACACAAATTAATTATTGCGGTGACCTACTTTTACCTCCCAGTTCCATGTTGATTAGTAAGTAGAATGGAGATATAAAATACTTCAACCTTCTTTTACTCTTATTTGCTGATGATACCCTTGTATATACGGAAAACTGTGATTTAAAAGAAGCTGTACAAAATATCAATATATCTTTAAAGATCATTGAATTATATCTACAAGTGAATAAACTCAAATTGAATATCAATAAATCTAAGGCAATGATGGTTACAACAAATTCGAATCAAAAAAAGATTGATACTAACGACGTTAATATCAGCATATTCAATAATCAACTCACAATTGTAAATGAAATTAAGTACCTAGGATTCATTATAGACCATCAATTAAATTTGAATAAGCATGCCGAATATACCATTAGAAAGATATATGTAAGAAAAAGTATTTTTCTCTAGAATTTCAAAATCTTTATCAACCTTTGCTAGACTAACATGTTACAACTGTATAATGAAGCCACACTTTGACTACTGCGCCACACTGATGTATGTATTCAATCAAAATCAAATGGGACAGTTGCAGAAACTACAAAATCGAGGTATGAGAATCATTTTGAGATGCAACCAATATACCTCTATTGAATCTATGTTGAATACTCTACAGTGGCACCCGGTACATAAAAGAATGTATTATTTGAGCATGATTTTTATTTTCAAAATTTCGAGTGGGATACAACCAGCCTATCTTAGCAGATATTTAGTTCGAAATAGTGACATTCATTCATATAACACAAGAATATGAAATACATTTTATAGATCCCGAACAAATTATAAGAGTGGAATGAACTCATTGTTCTTTGAAGGTCTTGATAGTTTCAATAAGTTACCTGATGAAATAAAACATGTAAATTCCTTAAAAGTATTAAAAAAGTTATTATTAGAATATATCAAATTGTAATACATGACGCACTGTAAAATTATATACGTTTATAAATTATTCATATATGCATAACTATATATTGTATATTAGGATTCCTAAAATAAAGTCTACTACTACTACTACTACTCTCCAGAAATACACTTGATTAGATTTATTTTTGAAGGTTATGTTGAAATTCCATGCCAAACTTCAGTTGAACTATCAGCTGTCAGCTGTTCCAATCAGAAATTTCAAATTAATCAGAAACCAATATCTACCAGACATGCGCGTTGACAACGATTTACAAACTGTTAGAAATCTGTTGGTGACTCAAGGCTGGAACGAACCTATATTCGGAAAATTCAATTTATTTTTCCCACAATTACATCTCTCTTCTCTTTTACGTTTCTTCCCACAAGTACCAACACCTGATCCTTAATTTCGCTACATAGAAGTGAGATCAATCATCAATCAACCCATAGGATATGAAATGTAGGGTCTCCCAACAGGGACTCCCGAACTTTGATAATTGATAACGGCCATCTTGTTGAAGCTACATTTGTCAAATTAGTTGGCATGTATTCACGGCTAAATCACTATAGACTATAGACAAATATAGCATTCAATATCACGTCCTTTGCTATCGCTTTGCCAGTTGCTTTGCTATCAGTGATATCAAAAGTCAAGGAGAAAGTCATAAACCACCATATCCTCAAATATTTGGAAGGCTTCACCATCTTGAGCAATCATCAATATTGCTTTCGGAAACAAAGGTTAACAGGCGACCTTCTATCGTATGTCACCAATATTTGGAATAACGCAATCGAAAAACATGGAGAATCAATAGCTGTTGCGCTTGATATATCTAAGGCCTTTGACCGTGTGTGGCATGAGTGTTTGCTGGTCAAACTTCGATGCTATGGCTTGTCTGATCATTTTTGTGTATGGCTCTTCAGCCTCCTGAAAGAGCGTTCCCTGCAAGTGGCAGTCGATGGGTATCTCTCGAATACTTTCATCGTTAACGATGGTGTTCCCCAGGGATCCGTATTGTCTGCAACCCTCTTTTTATTGTATACGATAGGTTGCCTTTTATGTTTCGGGATTTGGCAACCCTAGCTCTATCGTAAAGACATACGCGCGCTATTTGTGTTGTTTGCAGTAACTTAAAAGATTCATCTCGGCCCAAAAGTGGAATTAAATCGTGAACTTTTTCGTGCGATTACGTTTTACAACTTTCGACGTGGATTAACTCAGCAACAGTGCATGGATGAACTTGATTCAATTTTTGGCTATGAAGCTTCATCAAGAACCACTGTTTATCGATGGTATGGTGAATTCAATCGTAGTCGTAGTTCACTCCGAAAACCATTGATGCTGTGCGTGAACTGATATTGCAAGATCGTCATGTTACCCATCGTGAGATTGAGACAACCTTAGGCATCAGTGGGACCAGCATACATTCAATATTGCATAAACATTTGACTGTCGAAAAAATTTATTCGCGTGGATCCTACACAATTTGTCATCTTGACAGGTAATGAATCGTGAATTTACGCGTATGAGCCCGAAAGTAAACAATAGTCGACTGTATGGGTGTTTCACCCATACAGTCGGTCAGTAGCCAAGCGGTTCAGCGTGGGTGATTTGTTCACTCACTCGAGTTGACTGCCGTGTTGGTCGGTGGTTCAAGCCCTAGTCTGAACGATCGATCTTCACTTGCTATCGTCCAACCCGTGTTAGGAATCACACGTTAAAAGGTAAGACCTCGTTAA